ATCTCGACAAGCGTCCAAGGTCCCCCGTAGTCGCTAACACGCGACAAAAAACGCGTATCCGGGCGCGCGCGTCGTTTATCATGTTTGCACAATTGTCGCGTTCCTGGAAAACAGCTGTTTTATCCCGGCCGTGTCATCATCGACACCTCTTTGAGCGAGAAAGCATTGGTAGGGGACAGAAAGGAACGGGGATCCCTGCCGGGAGGCCGTCAACAATGGAGCCCGCGCGTCTTCGCGCGAGCACTATTTGCGCCGCGGTGTCTATTCCGCGGCGGAAAAACGTTTGGGAATTGCGAACGCGCCCGAGGCGGCCCGTCACTTTTAAATTATCCGACGAACTGTCGCGCGCAGGCTGCCCCCGCACGGCGAAATCGTGACATTTTGTCCGCGCGGAGATTACGAACTTCGACGGCGGTTCGTCGCGATTGGAATCGACGATGATGCAATCAGCTCGAAGCGGAACCGACCGAAATTTCGAAACGAAGTCGGCGGCATCTATTTCGTCGGGGAACGTACGGCTCGAGGGCGATTCTATCGAAGCTGATTTAAGGGATCGAAGGATTCGCCCGAGAGAAGCTGCGCGGATTATTGGACGCGGATCAAACGTCTGAATCGGCCAGACGAAAGTCTGCGATTCGAAGACGGATTTAATGAAGGGGGATTTAATGCAAATATTTAGTTTAAGTTAAACTTTTCGAAATGACGTTGATATTCTTTTTGCGAACAAATAGAGCGTCGCGTGTCGTTTAAAAATGATGAAATATCGACTCCTTTAAAGATAATCAAATATCGATGAGAATGACTAAATACTGACTTCATTAAAAATAAGCTGAATATTTACTGTTCGAAATCGGTACATCGTCGCAAAAAATAATCAAATATTGGCTTCCTCGAAAATAATTGAACACCGACTTGTTTATTTTTAAGGAAGTTGGCATTCGATTAATTTGAGAGAAGTCAACGTTTAATTATTTTGAACAGTGTCTAAAAGTGTTCAATTATTTCTAGGATCTTTTTACGTTCACAGAAACTAGTGAACATTTCATTATCCTTTAAAGATCATACGACGATCTGGTTACTTAAAACAGCAGAAATCCTATTATTTTTAAAGAAGTCGATATTTCATTATTTCTCAACGAAGTCGATCTTCAATTACGTTTAAACAGCTCGCGACGATCCATTGCTTTAAAACAGTAAATATAAAATTATCTTCGAAGAATTCAGCGTTCGATTCATTTGAAAGACGTCAATGTTTCATTACTTTAATTTTATATTCACCGTTTGAAATCAACGGATCGTCGCGAGCTGTTCAAACATAATTAAAGATCGACTTCATTGAACAAATAACGAAGTATCGACTGCTTTAAAAATAATAGAATATCCACTGTTTTATATAACCAGATCGTCGCACGCTCTTTAAAGATAATGAAATATTTATGCCTAAGTATAGTCGCATACTCTTTATTATTAAAAGTTTCCACGAAAGATCGTTCAATATTAAAGATCTCGGATCGAAGGAGAATTATTTTAGCGATTGTTTAGGTCGCAAGTCCAGCGTCCCTTCGAATCCGAGCGAGCTGTTCGAACATAATTAAAGATCGACTTCATTGAACAAATAACGAAGTATCGACTGCTTTAAAAATAATAGAATATCCACTGTTTTATATAACCAGATCGTCGCACGCTCTTTAAAGATAATGAAATATTTATGCCTAAGTATAGTCGCATACTCTTTATTATTAAAAGTTTCCACGAAAGATCGTTCAATATTAAAGATCTCGGATCGAAGGAGAATTATTTTAGCGATTGTTTAGGTCGCAGGCCCAGCGTCCCTTCGAATCCAAAAATATTTCCCGCAGTCGGTGCGCTATAGTGGCCTTTGCGACACCGGCGGTCGATACCGGGGAAGTAGCCTAATGCCCACGGAGCTGATGATTCCTCATAATCGTTGAACACGTACCCTAGCAAAATAAGGCTCGCGTTGTCCCCACGGCGTCGAATCGATTCACCGTCAACGTTTACGACAATCGACCCGGACGGACGGCTTTATCGCGTTATACGGGGCTCCGCAGGAGCTGTTACTCTTCCCACGAGGAAGATACGGTGATCGTCGGTACTCCAAGAGAAAGGATCGTTCACAGGGTCGAAACTGGGATCAGCGAGGAGCCCTTCCGTCCGCCGTTCACTTGCATCGTCGCGGAACCAAACCGGAATCGTTGTCTCACGGTTTACGAAACTCTCGACCTGTCTCTTGCAATCGTTCTGGCCAGCGCTCGAGCTCGTCGACCGACGATTCGGCAAGCTTCGCGAAGACACCGAAGCCGAAATTGTTGCGCCGATCACTTAGGATCACTTAGGATCATTGTCTCCGCCGCGGAGACAGCAAGTTCCGCCGAGCATGGTCGCGGCAGCGTCGCATGATCGAGGATGATCGATTCGTGATCTTGGAGTTCAGCGGCTCCGTCGGGTTCGAAGACTTCGTTTTACCGGGCACAACGTTCAGTTCGTGGTTCGCCGAACCGTGCTCGACCTCGAAAACAGGCCGAAACTCGATCGAACAGATATCGCGCTAAATATAAAACTTGTTCACTCGGCGATAATGGAATATTCTGCGGAGAAAAGAATGCTCGAAATTGCGAGGGAAACTTTGCGTCGAACGACGCGAACCAGCATCCGGTATTTATAAACATTTTAAGTAAATGTTTTATCCCGCGCGTTTCGTCCTGTTCCGCTTTCAAAGGAGAGAAGGAAAATCATGCTCGGCCGGCTTTTCTTTCGGGCGGGATACAGCGGCGCGCGTTCGACGGAAACCTTGGCTATCGATAATTCTGGCGATCGAGAGGCCCGATTAAGGTCTCAGACGCCTCGAAGTTCTCTTATCTGCGATATCCCATCAGCATTACCGCGTCGAATCGTTATCGATTCGTTTCGCAAGCCACTTGTCCCATTATTTTCCTCGGAATCGCGCCGCTTCGAATTCGAGTGGCGCACTTGGCCGATTCGCCTGGCGACTCTCGTGCCCGCGGTTATCACAATGCTTACAGTTTTCGCCGCAATGTAGTCGGACCAGGTTCGACCGTTGCAGCCGGCGCGGCTTCTGGCTCCAAGGAAGATGGAAAGTGTTTTTGGCTAATCGGCCAAATTTGTTGCGAACTGTCCGCGACTTAGCTGCGCTGCCGGCCAAGATCAACAATTGACCATGTAGCGGATTTAGCCATTCCTGGGTCACAGGAAAGCGGCGGATCGTCTTGCAACCGGCGAAGATGTAACCTGACCAGATTTGAGAAGGGTGGTTGCGTTCTGAATGTTTGATCGGCGGGATCAGCTGGACGAGTTGATCGTCTTGACACCTCGGTTATCTGGACGTCCGAGTCGTCCAGTCTTCTCTCTCAATCGGATCAACGATCCCCAACTGAACTACCATGTAAACTGGACTACCGAAAGTCCAGGACCGAAGGTCCTGACTCGTAATCCAAGGATTGACTACTTTGAAGAAGAGCCTGTCATTCTTAATACTTGATCGACGAGGTCTAACTACACCGATTTCACTTTGAACGCAACGTCGTTAGGGCGAAGAGTCTTTAATGCTTTCTCTGTCGGAGCAGCGAAGCATAAAAATAGAAAGTTGACTCCTTCGAGGAAGAATTAGCTGATAATCTTAATCCTCGCAGAACACAGCGTCTACATTAACATCGTTTTGAATGGAACGTTGCCAAGATAAAGAGTCCCCACAGAAGCTCTGGGTAAAACATGAAAATGCAGTGCTAACAGATTGAATGCTTTGAAGAGGAGGCTGCCACTCTTAATCCCTGATGAAGAAGGTCTAAGTATGCTAAATTCGTTTTTAATATAACACGGTTGGGTTAAAGACTGCTTTAAGACGAGAAACTAGCTCCACCAAGACCAAGGGTACGTGGTACTGGAAATTTGAATCCCTCGAGCTGTCATTCTTAATCCTTGAAGAATAAGGTTCTAGGCTAACGTTATTGCGAATGGAACATTGCCAAGATGTCTTCGAAACGGTACGATAACTCATGCATGATCATCGAAATATAAAACTAGGGAATTGAATCCTTCGAAGAAGAAGTGGTTTGTCGTTTTGAATGCTTGAAGAGCGAGGTCTATAATAATATTATTCGAAAGGCGGCATCGTTAGGATGAAGTGCAAAGGGTCCTTAAAATAGCAGAGTAGCTCCTTCTGGACCACGAAAACATAAAAGATTGAATGCTTTAAAGAGGAAACTGCCATTTTTAATCCTTGAAGAAGAAGAAGACCTACAGTGACATCATTTCCAAGACGAAGCATCCTTGAAACAGCAAACTAGCTTCTCATAGACTATTAAGACCGGAAGCTTGAACTTTTTAACGCAGTAATTGCCGTTTTTATCCTCGGAATTGAAGTCAGTTCTAGTCCATGTAGAACAGGCTCTACACTAAATCATTTCGAAGGGAGCATTGCCAGGATGAAGAGTCCTTGAAACAGCAAACTAGCTTCTCCAGCACCACGAAAACAAGGCACTAGAAGATTGACATCTTCTGCGAAGAAAAAGGAACTATCATTCGTCATACTCGGAGAACAAGGTGTGCACTAACGTCATTTTGAACAGAGCATCGCCGAGAAAACAACATCGTCCTCGAAACAACAACCTACGAAGACCGCGAAACCCAGGCGATTGAATCTTACGAGCCAGAAACTGTCATTCGTAATCCTTGAAAAACAAGTCGTCGATCCCAATGCTCGACGAACAAGCCCGCATCGACGTCGTTTCGACCTGAACACGGCCAGGGCAAAAAGTCCATAAGCCAGTAAACTAGCTGTTGGCGGCGAGAACAACGCAGCGAGATCACAACGCAGCACGAAACCGAGTCAGTCACTGGCACAGAACAAAGTCCACTCGCAATGCTTCATGATTAGCGCGGTGGATGAGGGCGCGGACGCCGCGACGATGCAAGTAACAGCTCCGAACGGCTCCTGCACGTAAAACAGCGCCGAGTCTCACCTCCGGAATCCAGAATCCAGCGGGTCCCGGCCTCAGAGACGGGCTACGGTGCACGGACTCGCGTCTACGTCAGGAGTTTTTGCCTGCGCACCAGTGAAGAGGACACCAGGGCTGTGGCATCCTCGCGCGCCCGGCGATCGAGGCAGCGGGACGCGATCGGCGATCTACGCGTCACGGGCAAACGATCGCGATCCGCTCGAGGTCGCGCGTACTGTCGGACTGAGAGCGGCGTCGAGCTGCCCTCCTGCGAACCCAGACCGTTGCGTCGCGAGCATGCTCTCTCTGTCTCGTTCCCGCTCCGGTCGGCTTCAGCGCGCTAGAGCCGTCCCGAGCCGAGTAGCACACGCTGTGTCCAACCTGGCCGCACCGGGTACGCGGACTCTCCTCGGCCCGACGCTCCGTCTTCCTTTTTCCTCCCTTTGCCGCCGAGGGGATGCACCCCCGGAGGCGGAATACGTTTACGAGCACGCGGCAACTACCGAGTTTCGCTGACTTCGGGAGCGGAGGGCGTGCTTGACAATGGACCGGCGACGCCCGGTGTGCTCGGACGCGACCCTGTCGTGGGCGGTCCGGCCGTGCTGACTCGCCGGAGAGCCGTTTCCGGTGCCTCGAGACCGTCCGGCTCTCGATGACTTTTTTGAGGAACCGCAGAAACCGAAAGGTCTGGGGTTTTATGGAACTTATTAGACCTCAGCGGACCTCGTTGGATCTCGCTGGACGTTGTCGGAAGCTGTAGGAACTCGTTTGACGTTATTGTATTTGGATGAACGTTTTAGGACCTTATTGGAAGTCAGTGGACCTCTCTGGAGTTTGCTGGACCTCCCTGGACTTTGCTGGACCTCGTCGAACTTACTTGGACCTTACCGGACCTCAATGGACTTCATTGAAGTTTGTAGGACTTCGTTGGTCCTCACTGGACCTCATTGGACTTAATTTGTTTCCACTAGACCTCACTGGACCTCAGTGGCTTTAACTGGACTTCGGTGGGCCCTATTGGATCTCGTTGGACTTCAAGGAACTTCATTGGATTCAGGGGACTTCGTTGGACTTCATTGGACCTCATTGGTCTTTATTGGATCTCACTGGCGATTTTTAAACTTTACTGGATTTCATTGGTTTTAAGTGGACCTCACTGGACCTCATAGGTTTTCATTGAACTTCATTAGACTTCGTTGCACTTGGTTGGATCTCGTTGAACTTCAGGAGACTTCGTTGAATTTCAAGGGACTTTATTCGACTTCGTTGGACTTTATTGGACCTCGCAGGACTTTATCGGACCTCACTGGAATTTACCAAACTTTACTAACGATTTTAGGACCTCATTGGACTGAGGACTTTCATTGGTTCTAGGAGAATCTTCATTTTTTGGTTCTAATTTAAATCCTTTTAGACCTCATTGAACCCTGTTGGATCTCATTGGATCTAACCCAAAAGTACAACCCTCCCAAGACCTAACTCGACCTTCTTGGACCTCACTAGACCTTATCCGACCTCTTCCAATCGTTCCTGGACCTCGCTGCACCTCGCAGACCGCACTTCACCTTAATAATTCCATTAACTCAAGCATCCCGACGCCGGAGGCAATTTTTCAAGCACGATCGTCCCCTTCTCGTGTAACTGTCGCAATTTTTACAATAGCGCCTTATAAAAATTCATGAACGTAGTTCGAGGGCGTGCTAACAACACCGCAACGTTTCGCAACGATACCTGGACCTATCCTCTCCAAGAAAAATTCCCGAATCAAAGGCTCGCGACAATGGTTCCAAATTGCCGACCAACACACTATTCCCTCCACCGAACGAAAGAAAATAAACAGAGTCACGTACCGCCGACATAATTGGCTCCCTAAATACACCAACGAACGAAGCCAACGGCTCCTAATTTGCAAGCGAAGTTCACCGCGAACAAACATCCCTCGAACAGCTCAATCCGCATAAAACGTTCGAATCACGCGCAACCTTCGGGTCTCAGCTCGCGTCTCGCTCGCGCGTACAACTAAGTTTAAGATCCGCCTGTTTGCTCGCCGTTGCCGAACTGCAACTGCACGTTAGCCGAGCAGCGGTTAGAATCTCCGCCGAGCAAACCCGGGGAGACAGACGGTGCTCTCGCTGGAATATGCGCGAACAAGGGTAAACATCGAATCTCGCGAGAAATGGCTACTGGAATATTGAGGATGGAAGATACAATTGAAAGGAAACGTCATCCCGTCGGCTGCCCGTTTAAATAACAGATGCAGATAGATAGAGAGAGAGAAAGACGTGCAGAGAGAAGGAAAGGCGAAGAAGAAGCCGAGAGATCACTATCCGCCGGCTTTTATGAAAATGGTGCGTGCAACGATAACCGTTTCGCAACCGCGGGAGAAACAAACCATCAAGGAAATATTGCGAGCTCCGCAAATATTTGCTCTCGGGTCTCGAATCGATTTACGCGCCTCTAGAGAGACACGATTTTGGATCCCAGCCATCGCCCGAACCTCGCCGCTTCAACCATGCCACGGTCACGTGGCCCCGCTGGAGCACGCGTGAATTCGTGACATAACCGCGGCGGCGCGCCGCGCCGCGTCGGTTCCGGAGAGTGCACGCGTTAAATATAGTCGCGGTCGGACAGCGTGACTTCCAGCCTCGACGACGTCGTAGCTCGTTCGAGAGAGTTCTTAGAGCGTTCGTCGAGCTCTTAAATTGTCCATGTTTGCGCGAAACGCGCGCGGACGAAAGGGCCCAAGTTGCAGTCGATTTATATCGCGCGCCTCTCCGGCCGGCCCAATAAACGACCCGTTCCAATAAATAAACGTGCCGCTGTCGGATCGACCGTTGCACTCAGCCTGACCGTTGCGGATCGACGAAACGAGATCGAGCGAAAATTGCGGGACACGATCGACGCTGTCGCGAACAAAATTTACGGGATTTTCAAATTCCGTTCAAATGTCGTTCATTCTCGAATCATCTCGTTGCACCTGTCGCGACTAGAGCGTGGATTTCGGCGCATTCGAAGAAATTTATACAGTTCTGAAATATTTGAATCATGCGGCGATCGTCGCCCGTCACGATCGAGTTTGGCACGGGAAATAGTTTCGGTTTGAATCAACCGAGCGAAATAAAATTGTCCGACGCCGCTTGTGCTCGGAACGGCTGTAATCGTGGGCGATTGAACGAGCATTGAGTTTCGAGCGAAATTAGCGTCGAACGATTCGCGGCAAATATTTCCACGCGGGATTTCAATCGGCGGGAACGATATGGAAACGCGAAAGGCGAAAGGCTAGAGTTACAACGAAATCAATACACGTTTTTTCTTTTGGTTTACAATGCCAGCCGGCGTTCTGGCACGGTCCGTTGCGACTGGTCGTGCAATTTTAAGCGCGTCCATACGGGTCCGAACATTTCCGAACACGTTCGAACGCGCGCAAACAGCGATTCGCTCGGCGGAAACGAAATTCTCAAGTTCCCGCGCGCCTCTCTGCGCTCGCAGAGGCAACAATAGGGGCCGCGGTTCGCTCGAATACGAATCGGCCAGCGGGATCCAGCGAGTTGCAGGCAACGGGTCACGTCTGCCACTGAAAATTGCGACACCGGGCTGATCGTTGCGCGCCGTCTACGACGGCCGAGTCATGAAAGTCGGTCGTAAACGTTCCTCTGACAAGTAAGTCGGCGTCTTCGGCGGCCTTTCGGGATAAATGTAACGGATGAGCTGTGTTCAAGGCTGAGTGAGTCCTTTCAGAGGCCGGCTATCTTCCCTTGCGATGCCAAGGGGGCAAGCACCTGTACTATATTAAGCGGAAAGGGTCGGCCTTGCCGGGGACGGAACTGAGCACGCCTGTCACAGAGACTTCCTCGCCGAGAAACTGTCAAGCTACGGTGCACGACGGTCCAACCGGTCGATCCAGCTGGCCAAAAACCAATTAGAAAACTTTACAGAGGCCGAAACAGTTTCTTGCCTGCGATGCTTACTTGTACGTACGAGGAACAATGCCTCGACTTTTATTCTCTTTAATGGGTTTCTTTTATCTTGACTTAGAAATTAAATTTTATTTCCCACATTGTGATTTTTAATCGGGTTAGTTGGGTCCGTTGAATATTATGTTAATAATTCATATCTGTATCTACGTATATTTTATATGTGAGTCACAATATATAATATAATATTATTATAATATTATTATAATTTTATTATTATTATTATTATTATTAAGAACAAATATAATATACATATATACAATATATTGTACATAGATACAAATGCAGATTATTAACATAATATATAATATACCAAATTGAGCTCATGAAAAATGAGTATTAGGAGAATCAAATTTAATTTTTACTTTACTATAATATTAAATATTAATATGTATATTATATACAATTGTGAACAATAATAATTATTATGCGTTACCATGTTTCGTAGAAAAAGTTAATTTGTAGCTGTCCCGAATTTCGGCCAGCCAAATAGGCCGGTCGGACGAAGACGACTCACGGCTTTGTCCGTTCCCAGAACCGGAACGCCGGTCAGCCGGCGGCGTCGTATCGTTGCGGACACCGAGAGCAATTGGATTGATCATTAAAGAATACTGTCACGTCCCGGCGCTCCCGGGAATCCGGCGAATTCTTGCCAGGAAGCTGAACCGAATCGCCGGCTACTTCAGTTTCTGCACTTGGAACCGAGCTATTGACCAACACGATGCTCCGGTGATGGGGGCCGCGGGGAGGGTCAGCGCGGAACCATGATTGCGTTTGCTTAGGGATCAATCGAAATGGCCTGCTTGGAAAGAACAAACGGAGTAGAGTATTGGGTTTCGTAGAATCTGTGTCAAGTTGGCATATGGTTCTATCCGCGTTGGTAAACGTACGTCCTCGTTTCTCTTTTTTCGCGGGACCGACGCTTTGTCTCAAGGTTGTCTCGGGTTGTCTCGGTTCTACGGACCTTGTTTGACTTTTTTGGACCTCACTGGACCCTATCGGGCATCACTGGACTCCGTTCGTCTTCATTGAATTGCATTTGACTACAGAGGACCATAAGGAACTTTATTGAACCTTATTGAACTTCAATGGACCTCACTTGACCTCGATGGACTTCAGAAGATGTCATTAATCTTTCTTAAAGCACAGTGAACTATATGGAACTAGATTCTACTTTAGTTGACCTTGATGAACCTCAGTCGACCTAAATGAACTTCGTTGGACCACACTGAACATCATTCTTTTTCGACGAACTTCACTGGACTT